ATGCTTTTCATGTGTTTAATTTACTTAAAATAAACAACACTGGCAATTTCCTGTAAGCCTAGAGGTTGTTGAAATATGTGGCTGCTTAGACAAAATATACTTGTGAAGGAAAAATTGTAATAATAATCAGCAGGCTGCCAGTTGGTGGTTGAGGCTCAATGATAAAAATGATCTTGTGGATTTTGAAACTAGTTACGTTTTGAGACTAGCTACTGAAAATTGTTGAGCACAATTGGAGAAATTGGAAGTTGAGATCTTTTTGGTATAAAACAGGATTAGAATTTAATTTCATGATACTACTGACAAGAGCCAGTAGTGTCTTATTTGAATCATTTCTGATGTTTTCATATTGAAGCATAAAAAGCATCATCTATCTTTGTGACTTGATTCTTGAACGAAAAGGATGCAAATTAATGAGAATTGCTGTTCAGGAGCATCTTCTGTAGCCTTTTTTCTTTTTTTGTTTTTCAACAAACCTTCTTCTTTCAGCTTCGTTTCTTTTTAAAGCAGTATTACAAACAGGTTTTGCTAATATAGTTCTGACATGTTTTCCAAGCTATATTGAAGATCAGAAACACAAAGTGATGAAAGTATTTAGTTTATTCTTCTGTAGTAATGTTCTGTATTACAACTGAGAGAAATATCTTAAAAGTTGAACAATTTTAACTTTCTTGTTTACTTTTCTCCCAGCTTGGAAGCCCAATAAGTAGAACAAATATAATACATCCACAAGTCTACGTGAGTATATATTTTCATTTTTTTGAGAGCTGCTTAAATAAGACTAGCATAATTCTACAAGTGAACTGGCTTTTCCATCCTTTTAGAACCTTTTCAATAGAAAGGAAACAAAAGTCAAGCAAACAAAATGAACTTTCAAGTCAGAATGAGTGTTTAACATGACTTACCATTCCTCACCCATGTAAATGGTTGTTTGAAGAATGGGTCTTAAATTGCAGTATATGAATTCCAGCATATAAGCCCATATAAAATGTGGTTTTCACGATCGAAGTGGCAATGACTTTGTGTAATGTAGGAGATAAAACACCACAGTAGAAGGGCCGCTAAGAGTGAAGAAAGGATGAGTATTTTAAGAAAGCTCCACCTTGTTTTTTTTAGTTTTGACAGATAGGAATGATGAGTGACTGTTAATTATATGAGGCTTGGAATTCAAACTCCATTAATTTATAAAATAAGGTAATAGTGAGATAGCGTATAAAGTGTTCTTTTAGGATCTGTGTTGCTCTTCTTTGAACTTGCATCGTTTTGAAAAAAATAATGGAGTTAGTAGTATTTAGAATTGCTTTTTCATAGTTAATTTTACTGTGTTTTGAGGAGGAGGTACAGGATTATAAATCATTATTATGAAACTGTATATACCTTAGGTGTTGCACTTGGTTGGACTCAGTTGGCAAGTGTTTACTCCAGCAGTTACTGCTTCAAAATTGAGGTGTCCCTCTTCTAGGTGTAATCATTACCTGAGCTTTTTAATGCTTTTAAATATCTTCCAGTTTTCTTCATTGCCTCCAGTTCGTGTGGTATTTGAAGTTACCATGGAAGGTAGCGCTCGGAAAGTGATAACAGTGCGCTCAGCCTTGATTGTGAAGAACAAGCTGGAAACACCAATGGAACTAAGACTAGATAGTCCTTCTGCTCCTGACAGTAAGTCTTGTATATTCCTTCCGTACCATGGGGAATCTTTAGCTTCCTCCCCAAGAAGATTCACCACTGCCTCTAATGGTTAACAACAAAGTAGACCTCCCTAGAGGAGAAATAGCTAATCTTAAGAAGAAAGTGATCAGCAGGTTAAGCTGTAAACCCATTAGGATTTGTCCTTATTGGTCAGGTAAATGAGGAAGGCTGAGACTCTGTAAAGACTGAATCTTACTTCGTATGTAGCATGTTGTATCTTTTAGCAGTAGCCTAGGTTTCAGGTGTTAGCATGCAATGGTGCAATCTAGAAGTGTAGTGATATGCTGATGATGTACCCAAAATGTAATGAATTATGTCTTTTTGAAATAAGCATTTTCATTAAAGCATCCAAGGAAAAAGAATTTGAATCACAGCAAGTTTTTAGTTTGTTTCCAGTTTCAGATTTACACACCTAAATTCACCTGCTGTGAGATTGTTGATAGGGCTTAAAACAAGGGTAATAGGGTTGGTGTTTGAAACATGCATAAAGTAGCTAGTGTTTTATGTTAAAACGTGTTGCTTCAAAAATTTGAGACTTGCTATTTGAAAGTTGTATGCTTTTCAGTAAAGGGGCCTGTTCTGATATGTGTATTTTCTTCTCTGGTTGCAGAACCTGTAGTTCTTCCAGCAGTTATGCCAGGAGATTCCTTTGCTATTCCATTACATCTTACATCTTGGCGTTTGCAAGCCAGGCCAAAAGGAATGGGAGTCTTTTTCTGTAAGGCTCCGATTCATTGGACTAATGTTCAGAAGACAGCAGAAGTATGTAGCAGCAAGCGAGAGTGTCATTCAATGGAATCTGAAAATAGCCGATTTTTCAGGTAATTAAAACCTAATTATTTCTCTGTAAGCTGTGTTATCTTCTTCTCATAAATGAAATACTGTGAAAGTAAATAACAGGAAAGAAAATACTTAGAGATGAAAGCTTCTGCAGTTTAATGGGACATAAATTTACCTTAACTAACGAAAAAATGAAGTGTCAGGTAGCCAAAGCAGGGATATATCTACTGGGAAGAAGGACACATTCAGCATTTATGTTTAAGAACATGATTATTGTTTACTTTAATAGTTAAAATCTCTTTTTAATGATAGTTGATAACATGTTTCTGTGAGTTTATGGAAGTTGGTTTTAAAGTTGGTAATCTGTAAAAGCAATTTCCTGCTAGGTCTCTGAACAGACGAGGTTTTTTGAGTGACTAAATGAATTCTTTGCTTAACATCAGGAAAATCCTGTTGCTTTAATGTGAGGCGTAAATATAAAATACCTTATAATTAAACTCTAAAGTGATTATCTGGAGAACAATTCTAAATGCTGTTTTTGCTATCAGTCCTGAAGTTACAGCGTGTGGTGGGATTTAGTGCAATACACAAAGACAGGGTTCAATTATTCTGTCGAGTTCATTGACAACTTCTCATATATGTCTGCCTTCACAGGTTTTGTGTGGCTATAAAGAAAGAAAATTATCCAGATTACATGCCTTCCGACATATTTTCTGACAGTGCTAAACAGATTTTCAGGCAGCCTGGGCATACTATTTATCTCTTGCCAACGGTCGTAATCTGTAACTTGCTGCCTTGTGAGCTCGAGTTCTATGTTAAAGGAATGCCAATTAATGGGACGTTAAAACCTGGCAAAGAGGCAGCATTGCACACAGCTGATACATCTCAGAACATTGAGCTTGGTAAGGTTCTTTTTCAGATACCACTTTCTGATCCTCCTAGAGGAGTACCTCAATATAACTGTTTCTTGTACAAGAAACTATGGTGCAAGAATGGAAAAATTAAAAAATGGAAAACTTTTATATGATTATTTTATTGGATTGCAGGGTTTCTTATAGTTAATAACCAAGTGCACGCATCCAAAAAAAATACTAATATTGCCATCATTCCCCCAAATCTGTCAGCTGTCTTGGTCTGTTCCTTATTTGGCTCTTTTCTCATTTTCCTGAGAGTGGAAACAGTGGAAACTGGAGAGGACAGTGACAAAGGAGGGAATAAAGCAAATAAGTTCCCAACATTTTGGGTGATTTTGCTGTTTTCTTTCTGACAGAAGAAGTTGGTGTTGAGAGTACGTATGAAATTATTCAACACTGACTGGACTTCTGATGCCTAAGGCAGTAATTAGCCCTAAGCAGGGTTCTTTACAGAACTTTTTTTGCTGCTTGTGACTTAAATGGAGGCATTTCTTCATGAGGTCAGAGGTTATTACACTGGGCAGATCTAAAAGTTAATCTGGGTAAGCTATATGAAATATTCAGAAAGATGAAGCCATACGAAACACCAGCCTGTGTGCTTATCAGAAACTAATGTTTCTGTGTGGGTGATGTTTGGGTTTATTTTGTTTTGCTTTCATAGGGGTATTGCTAGAAAACTTCCCGATCTGCAAGGAGCTGTTGATTCCTCCTGGGACACAAAACTATATGGTGCGGATGCGATTGTATGATGTCAACAAACGACTGCTAAATTTGACCATACGGATTGTATGTCGTGCTGAAGGTTCTCTAAAAATACTGATTTCAGCACCATATTGGTTAATCAACAAAGCAGGTAAGTTTACAGTATTTTCTTTCATAGCTGTAATCAGGAGCTGGGAAATAAAGATTTTGTGTTTTGATTTGTTTTCTAGCCAAATAGTGCTTTTAAACACTACTTAAGCGGAATTAAAGTTGCAGGAATTTTTTTTTTTTTTTTTTACAGTGCCAGCAGCTATTGTTTGATGAATGTTACAGCAGATAACTTAGATGTTTTAGTTGCTATATTGCAGATTTTCAAACATGAGCTCTTGTACCTCTAAATAAATCAGCATAGATTAGATCACTGTTAAAATTCTGGTTTTCAAAGGCTGAAATGCCTTGAGAAAGCAACAGGTCTAAATTGCAGTTATTCTATGTTAACATCCATTGGCATTTTCACAGCTACAAGAACTCCTTTTCTGCATGGACCAGACTCGATGGCTCTCAGCTGTTAATAGGTCTAGCTGTTAAATGGGTTGGATGGAGAATGAGAGGGAGAATGCATGCAGACTAATGGCTAATATTACAACCGAAATATTTTAGGCTGTTCCTTAATTTGAAGTAGTTTTTACCACTCTCATTTTAATTTGTGCAAAGGAGAAGTGTAGTTTGACACTCAATTTTTTGTGTTTACTTAAAGGATTACCACTTATCTTCAGGCAAGATAATGCAAAAACAGATGCTGCAGGTCAGTTTGAAGAGCATGAACTTGCTAGAAGCCTCAGCCCACTTCTATTCTGTTACGCTGATAAAGAACAGCCAAACTTGTAAGTAATACCACAAGAAGAGCAGACAAGGAGGAACCTTACGAAGTATGAAAGTAATTCGCAGAGGATTGGGTGCTGCTATAT